TCTCTCTCTCTCTCTCTCTCTCTCTCTCTCTCAAAAATAAATACCAAAAAAATTTTTTTTAATTTGTTGCTTCCAATCCTTTTTCCCTTGAGTTATGTGCAAAGAAATCTGTGGCTTAGGCTGTGTTTGGTAGTTGCACGCTTTCAAGTGCTTGTGCTAGATTGAAGGACAAACCCACTTGGGCATTTCCCTCCTTCTCACCTTCCTTCTGAGAGAGTCCCGTGCACTCCTGAGCTAAGAGGCTGTGTGATGGCAACATCCTTCCATTGCTGTACACCCTAAGATCCCTGGAGGACGAGGGGCTGCTGAGCACCTAACTTTCTTCACAGAAGTCCAGGGTAAAAGGAGAACCTTATCTAGGGGCCACGTTCAGTAAACCATGAGCAAACACTGGTCTTTTGACCCTTACATGTAATACTTAATAACAGTGGTCTCTCTCTCGAACTACTGTTTTACTTTATGCCGACGACTCTCTCAGAGACGAGAGTTCCAGAGCGGTGCTTTTGGAAATTCCAAACAAACAGGCTCTTATACCAATGATACGGAACATTTTGTTTTTTTCTTTTCTTCCCAGGATTCATTCCTGTCTGTAGCCTTGGAGTGGCTCAGGTGGGCAGGATGAACTTTGGAAAGGATGTCAGCACCTTGAAATATTTCACCATCTGTGGCTTACAAGAGGGTTACGAACCGTTTGCTGTGAACACAAACAGGGATATTACCATGTGGCTAAGCAAGAGGCTTCCTCAGTTTCTCCAGGTCCCTTCAAACCATGAGCATATCGAGGTTTGCTTTTTCTTTAAAAATTCATACCGTTGCCAAAAGCCAGGGGTGGAATGTCTTTACACTTGGGAATTCCCACTTGGACAGTTATTGCCACTTACTTAGAAAGGTGGCCCTACTGTGTTACACAGTAATGGAGTCTGAGCACAGTATGAGGCTCTGATTATAGGTACTTTATGAGCACCTGATTAGACTGATTAACAATAATTAATTCTGTTTTTATATAAGCAACACCAGCGGCTCACTCTGAATGAATGTAATTTTAACATGAATTTTCCAAACTATCTTTTGAGTTAGAAACAACAGATGAACATGGGGGAAGGGAAGGAAAAATAAGATAAAAATGGAGAGGGAGGCAAACCATAGAGACTCTTTTTTATGAAAAATTTTTTGTTTTAATATTTATTTTTGAGCAGAGAGAGAGAGAGTGAGTGAGCGCATGAATGAGGGAGGAGCAGAGAGAGACAGAGACACAGAATCCAAAGCAGGCTCCAGGTTCTGACCTCTGAGCACAGAGCCTGACTCGGGGCTCAAACCCACAAGCCATGAGATCATGACCTGAGCTGAAGTCGGATGCTTAACCGACTAAGCCACCCAAGCACTCCAAACCATAAGAGACTCTTTTTCTTTTCAAACGTTTATTTATTTTTGGGACAGAGAGAGACAGAGCATGAACGGGGGAGGGGCAGAGAGAGAGGGAGACACAGAATCGGAAACAGGCTCCAGGCTCTGAGCCATCAGCCCAGAGCCCGACGCGGGGCTCGAACTCACGGACCACGAGATCGTGACCTGGCTGAAGTCGGACGCTTAACCGACTGCGCCACCCAGGCGCCCCAAGAGACTCTTAAATAAAGAGAACAGACTGAGGGTTGTTGGAGGGGCAGTGGGTGGGGGGATGGGCTAAATAGTGATGGGCATTAAGGAGGGCATTTGCTGGGATGAGCAGTGGGTGTCATATGTAAGTGATGAATCACTGAATTCTATTCCTGAAATCATTATTACAATACATGTTAACTAAATTGAATTAAAAAGAAAAAAAGGCAGAGCTATGAGTCTATCTGGAACACAGTACTCCCTGTGTTTAATCTCATCATTTACAAAATTATGCCAAGTGTGGGCCGTGTTTGGGGTTTTAAAGACGTGATGTGTGTTAGCAATCTTTAGCATCAGGAGGTTGACTGTGTTGATTCGAATTTGAACTATCACTTCTTCATTCGCTAGGTGACCAGAATAGACGGCACCATCGACAGTTCTCCGTGTTTAAAAGTCACCCAGAAGTCCTTTGGCGCTCAGAACAGCACTGCCGACATCATGTTCTATCGCCTGAGCATGCCAATCGAGTGTGCCGAGGTTTTCTCCAAGACGGTGGCAGGCGGGCTCCCAGGCGCCGGCCTCTTTGGGCCCAAGAATGATCTGGAGGATTACGATGCAGATTCTGACTTTGAGGTTCTAATGAAGACAGCTCATGGCCATCTGGTGCCAGACCGTGTTGACAAAGACAAGGAAGCCACAAAACCAGAGTTTAATAACCACAAAGACTATGCTCAGGAAAAGCCCTCTCGTCTGAAACAAAGGTCATTGATACATGGAACATAATTTCAAATATGCAGTTATTTTGTGGGGAGGGGTACAGAGTGAGGGATTTCCCAGGGTCCATTTGTCCTTCCCTCTCCTTCTCCTTTACGTATAAAGGATTGGACAGGCGACAGTAACGCAAACTGTTTGTCATCGAATTTGTTACCACAGACATAATCTATCCCAGAAGTTACTTATTTAAGGCACTTTTTTTATTGTGGTGAGAAACACCTAACAAAATCTACCATTTAAACCATTTTTGAAGTGTATGGTTGTGTAGTGTTAAGCATGTTCACATAGTCATGAAACAGGTCTTCAGAACTTTCTCAGCTTGCAAAATTGAAACTCTCTACCCATTAGACAACTCTCCTTTTCCACCTCCCCCTAGCGTCTTGTAATCCCCATTCTCCTTTTTATTTCTATGAATTTGACCACTTTATAAATGTGGATTCATACTGTGTTTTTCTCTTCTGTGTGGGATTGGCTTAACTCAGCCTAATATCCTCAAGGTTCATCCATGTCACTGCACGTGCCAGAATTTCCTTCCTTTGTAAGGCTGAGTAATGCCCCACTCTGTATGTACATATTTTGCTTATCCATCTGTCCGTTGATCGATATTTGGGTTGATTCTTCCTCTTAGCTATTGTGAATAGTGCCGATGTGAACTGCATGTGCACATGTATTTTTGAGGCCCTGCTTTAAATTACTTTTGATACATACCCAGAAGTGTGGTTGCTGCTAGTTCTGTGTTTAAGTTTGTGAGGAACCTTCATGCTGTTTCCCACAGCAGCTGCGCCATTTTACATTCCCACCAACACTGCACGAGGGTTCAATTTCTCCACATTCTCGTCAACACTTGTTACTTTCTGTCTTTTTGATGATGGCCCTCCTAATGGCTGTGAATTAGTGTCTTCTTGTGGTTTTGATTTGCATTTTCCTGATGTTCAGTGATCTTGAACATCTTTTCATATACTTCTAGGCCTTGTATATCATCTTTGGAGAAACGTCTTTTCAGGTTCTTTGCCCATTTTTTTTATTGGGTTATTTGCTTCTTTGTTTTTGAGTTGTAGGATTTCTTTATATACTCTGGATATTAACCCCTTATATATAATTTACAAGTATTTTCTCCAAAGAGTTTTTAAGATGTTTATATTGACGTTCTTGGTTGAAACTTAAAGTATTCTCTCTAAATAGTATTTTTTATAGACACGAGGCAAGTTATTTTAGCATCCTTTTTTGCACTAAATCTTAATTTCTCCAGATCAGTGTGATTGACACTGTAGTTCAGATAATTATTTGTTGTGAGAGTCCGCCATGTTAATTGAAGGATATTTAGTCACATCCCTGGCCTCCACCCCCTAAATGCCAGTGGCACACCCCCACCCCCCCACCCCCAATGTGTCAACTAAAAGTATCTCCAGCTGGGAGATAAAGGCATAGTTTAGGGAACAAAAATAGCCCTGGTTGTGAACCACTCTACTAAATTGATGATATGCACATGTTTTAAGTAGGCAGAGATTTTTAATGTTGCTGATCCCCCGTCCTGTACTATATTTCAGATTTTTGCTTAGAAGAACAAAGCCAGATTATAGCACGAGCCATTCTGCAAGGCTCACGGAAGATGTCCTTGCAGATGATCGGGATGATTATGACTACTTGATGCAAACGTCCACGGTATGAGGTTGAAGCTTTTGTCACTTATTTCTCAGTTATTGTGTGTTTCATGTCAAAGAGTTCCTTTTCATTCATCCTCTGTAGCTGACTTATTTTAAAATAAATCTTTGCTTCTATTTTGGGGACTGAAAGTTGAAGAAAATACAGGTATATTCTGAGGTGTATTATGTGGTAAGAGAAGTGTTTTAGGCAAAATAACTTTATGACATGCTTAATCCTGATTTTGGTATCATGTTTCCTGGGAAAATTTTAATTTCCACTTAATTCTTCCAAGTGCATATAATTTCCTTCATCTTAGTGATATGTCTAAAGGAAGATCATTTATCATACTTTGTTGGAGGTCATGTTTTGCTCTCTGCCAATTCATGTTTAAACCGGAGTGCCTGGCTGACTCGGTAGATGGAGCATGCCACTCTTGGTCTCAGGGTGGTGAGTTCAAGCCCCATGTTAGGTGTAGAGCCTACTTACTAAATAAATAAAAATTTAAAAATTAAAAGAAAATAGGGGAACCTGGGTGGTTCGTTCAGTTAAGTGTCTGACTTTGGCTCAGGTCATGATATTGCAGTTCATGAGTTCGAGCCCCGTGTCCAGCTCTGTGCTGATAGTGCAGAGCCTGGTTGGGATTCTCCCTTCCTCTCATTCTGTGCCCCTCCCCCACTTGCACGCGTGTGCGTGCAGTCTCTCTCAAATAAATAAATAAAACTTTAAAAATAAATAAACAAACAATGCTTCAAAAAACAAATTTTTCAAAACAACTTTTCATAAAACACCAAATGGGAAAAAAATGTATAATTACATCCCTTGTAGAGTGCCACCATGTTTGAGCTAGATTTTTACATATTAGATCTGAGCTATTTCAAAGTGATTTTTTTTAATATTTATTTTGATGGAGAGAAAGAGAGAGAGATTTGGGGGGAGGGGAGGAGAGCGAGGAAGAGAGAGAATCCCAAGCATGTTCCGTGCTTTCAGCACAGAGCCCGACCTGGGGCTCAGTCTTCTGAATCATGAGATCATGACCTGAGCCAAAATCAAGAGTTGGATGCTTAATCAACTGAGCTACACGGGCGCCCCTCAAAGTGATTTTAAGGTGTCAAAGTATTATTGATAAAAAAGGCAAAGCATATTCAAAAAGGTGGGTGACAGGTATAAAACACTAGCATAAATTAGTGTGCTTGTATAAGTTTCCAGAATTTGAAGTTTATCTGCCTGAATGGATTGGTGATTTTATTACATAAATATGCTATGTATGTGCACATACAGTTGTACCCATATTTTAGGAGTATGAAAGACCACAAATTATTTAGTGTGTTTGCTCTGACAAGGTCATTTCTCTTCTTCCCATTATTTCTGATTTCCTTTCCATTATCTCTGCTTTAAGACTTATCTTCTTCCAGTGTCCGCTCTTTGTTCTTGTTACATTTTAATTAGGCCGAATGATTTTAAACAAAGAAATGCAGTCAGGCAATTCAAAGGCATTGCGTATCAAAGTTTTGTTTCTTTTTAACTTTGCCAACATTTGATTTTGCTGTCTTGACAGTACTATTACTCAGTGAGAATCTTTCCCGGCCAAGAACCTGCTAACGTCTGGGTGGGCTGGATTACATCAGATTTCCATCAGTATGATACAGGCTTTGACTTGGACAGAGTTCGTACAGTAACCGTTACTCTAGGAGATGAAAAGGGAAAAGTACATGAAAGGTCGGTTTTTCTCAATTTTTTTTTCTTATGTGAATGATATCTGATAAACATGTTGATAAACCTAGGTGTTTTTTTTGTTTTTTTGGGTTTTTCTCCCCCCTTGGATTTCCTGTCCAGGATCATGTTGTATTTATAGGAACAATATCATGAAACCATTCATGTCAGTGTCCGTTTTGTTATGCATACAAGCCAGTAAGGAATCTGAATACATTAAAAGTGAAAAACATTATAAAGTAAGAGCAGTGCATCCTTTGTGGGTAATAGTCTACATTCCTTCAGGTGACCTCGTACGTGACTAACAGCTTGGGTTGCCAGTACTAAGCCTTTGTTTTAGGGATTAGAGATGGGTGGATGTGAGGCTTTCATGGTCTGAAATGTATCTTTGGGAACGGTTTATGTGGTGGGGAGAAAACTGGAGACAGTGCGGGCTAGTAGTTTAGACCAGGTGGACGCATTTTAACTCAGACTGAGGAGAAGTGGGTTCTTTCCTCAGCTTTGCCATTGACTCGCTGTGTGGCTTTGGGTAAGTCAGTTACACTTTCTGTGCCATCCTTTTTTCATTTGTAAAACAAACCAAACTCAAACCAAACCTTCAAAAAAGTGAAGAAGGCTATCTTCCTTGTGGAATAAGACAAGAGAAGATCTGGCCATTTGCATCTGTCTTTTGTGCCCATGCATCCTCTCTGATCTGCTGTGACAGGTGTCATAGAGGGAGTCCGCCATAATGTTGCTTTTCTTATATACCTGCATCATCATTTTTGGTGACCAGAAGCTCACTCTCCTGTCTTCGGGTTGTAACACTTAAAACTGTGGAACTTAGCCCTTGAGACCATGGGCCAAGCCAGAATGTCCAGGAAAGAGTGCTTTCTTTACAACAGTACGGGAGCCCCATACCCACCTGTCTCTGGGAACATTCTTGAAGGACACATTTGATTTTCAAAGATGGCAACGGTACAAGGAAATAACCCAACAGAGGGACGGGATACCTGGATAGATGATCTTAGTGTAAGAAATAGAGGGCAGGGAAGGGTTGTTGAATGTTTTGTAAGGAGTGCAAAGAAACACAGCCAACCTGATTATTCCAAAACTGATTTTTATCTCAGCCTTCTTTTTCTTTTCCTCCTACTTGCCTGCCTTTGACTTTTTTTTTTTTTTTTTTTTTTTT